ATGGAAAATAAAGAAAGTTTATTATGTCCAAGAATCTAGGCAAGATTAGAAAAATCAAAAGATGAGGCAGCCAATTGTACCCCCTACCCTCTAGTGAAGTGCTGTTTCAGGTATGTCATAGGCTAGATACTTTGACTGTCAATTTTGAGGCTAAGAGTTGCACTTGCAGACAGTGGGACCTTAGCGGAGTTCCATGTTGTCATGCTATTGCTTGTATGTTCTTCATGAATGTAGCACATGAGGATTTTGTTGATGAATACTACACTAGACGGTCTTACGTGAAGATGTATTCGGGTAGCATAGCCCCTCTAAGTGGTGAAAGGCACTGGCCTCCAATAAATATGCCCTTATATCCTCCACCAATTAAGATCGGTCCCGGTAGGCCTACAACAAATAGGATAAAGGCACCACACGAAAATCCAAAAAACAAAAAAAAACAGGTAAGCTGACAAAGCACGGGGTTGAGATGTCTTGTAGTGTGTGCAAGTCAAAGACACATAACAAGAGAAAGTGTCCATAAAAAAATAAGGCTACTGAACTAGAATCACAACCAAAAAGGAGTAGGGGAAGGCCAAGAAAGGTGAGTTGAAGCACACATAGAGCATGATGCTACGACAGCCCAACCATCTCGAATTGGTAGAGGAGGAAGAGTGATTCATGGTAGAGGAGCCAAAGTTGGAAGGGGAGGTCAAGGAAGAGGACGTAGCACACGAGGAAGGGGTAAAGGGAAAGTACCAGTTGGATTCGGAGTAGTCATCGATGGACAAGGAAATACATGGACTAATGTAATTTACTATAATTATGTCTTATTCATTTAAGTATATTTACTGAGTAGTACTAACAGTTAATATCATTGCAGGATAGTATGCGATTGATACATGTTTGTTGATTTTACAGAGCCTCGGGCAGCAAGGAGGACTAGTGAATATATCACAAACAAGTACCTATACCTCTGCAGCTGCAACAGCTCATTCAGTGTGATTTGGAAGACTAATATGTTATTTATGTAGTTCACGACCACTTGTATGAACATTATGTTGTTGTACTCTAGTTTCTTAAGTGTTGTTTATTCTAGTTATTGTGTAATTCTGAACCACTTGGATGATCATTGATATGTTGGTAATCTGTACGAATTTATGAAGTATCTATTATTGACTTTTCTGAACATAATGTTCTATTTTTTAGTGTTATCTGTATGAAATAATGTTCTATATTTTGAACATTATGGTGAAATTATGTTGTGTTTGAATAAGAAGAAGTTTGGTTATGTTTGCAATGGTTTCTGTTAATGTGTTTTACTGAGAGTGTATGTGTTGGACATGTTGGTGGCAGTGCAATGTGTTTGATTTAGTATCTCCTGAAATGGTAAGGTCCAAAATAGATGGCATTTTGTTTTGCCAATAATGGTGTTGAAAAATTACAAGGTAGGGGAATGGTGACTGATGCATCAATTCTTTTCATTATGTAATATTTATGCTGAATAGTACTAATAAATGTGGACAGTAGCATGAAAAAATGACCTGCAAATGTGAATACTATTAATATTTGTACTGATGGATTTCTTTCCAAACCCCATGGTGGATTCAAAAATACCTTTTGACAGCTGCGAATGTGGGTTTCTTTCCAAAACCCGTGAAAAATGACCTGCAAACAAGAGTGCTGCTATAACCAATTTTAGTAGCCGGTTGTACACTACTGTTGTGGTAAACAACATCCACTTTTGGACATCCTTTAGTCATCACATTATCACATTCATTATCTTTAGCCTTAACTAATAACCATTGCAATCCCTTAGTCACAACTCATAATTATAATAACACAATTCAAGTATTGAAACATTGTTATGTTTTACATCCAACCACCAACATAAAAGTTTAATACATGACAAACATTCAAAGATGTTTTACATCCAATCTCCAACATTAATACTACAACAGTAATACTACCTAGTAAACAACTCAATTCACTTATGATATAGTATAATGCTAAATAAAATCCATGAAACAATCATCCAAAAAATGCAAGTTTCTCTCCCTTTGCGTGCTTCGAGGTCAAAATGCGAAAATCTTTCATTTTAGCTCCCATCTTTTCTTTCTTCTTTTCGGGCTTCACAATCTTCTTCTCCAAATCTCTTTTCTCCATCAAAAGCTGTTGAATGAAATTATCCTTATCATTTGTCTTCTCTTCCAAAAACATAGAAGGTTTTTCCTCAATCCATTGGAAATAAGAACAATCATCTTTCTGTAAAAAATGAAATATGATGTGTTTCATCTTTACATACAGTGTAATATCATGTTTCAATTCTAATCAAAATTAGAATTCAATTACCAACTTACTGGCCATAGAGCGCACCCGTAGAATCGCCGCCCAATATTGGGGCCATTTTTTTACAGTTCTAGGCTTCAAATACACCTTATGGAAGCATTCAACACTTCGTTCACGTGAAACATTGATTTCGGACCTGCCCCCCACGAAGATGAACCACCTGTAGAAACCATTTTTAATTAACCTGCTATCTGGTCTCTTGGAGCTCTTGGCTATGGCAGATTGGACGGGCAAAAAGGTTTATGGAAGGGGGTAGTGTATTATGATAAACGGAAGAGAAGAAGAATTCAAATAGGTTGTTTACGACATCGTTTTAATTAATAGGAAATAAACAGGTGGTTCTCACGTGTTTTTACCGGCTAAGAAGGGAACGATTAGGTTGCCAGCCGGTTGGGACCATTAGTAGAAAAAGCCCAATTAAATTTGAACCACCCAGTAATAATTAATAATTGAGATTATTAAAAGCGAACCACATATAGTTGAGATTATTAAATAGCAATTGTCCCATATAGGACTAAAAGAGTAAAGAAATTCTCACATAGGATCATGTATGATTTCTTCCCTGAATAGGACCAATTTACTCCTATTCCTAAACATACAAAAATTTGCATCTCAATTTTACCCCTGCACCCAATATCTCTTTTATCTCTCCATTTACAAACCTAATTGATCGACTCTTTGGTTTCCTCCCTGCCGAAAAAATCGATCGACAACTCCCTCTGCAACTTCTCCTTGCGCATCGCAGCCCGCCACCAACCATGCCGCCTCGCGCCGCCTTCATCACTACCGGATTCAGCACGCATCATCGCAAGTTGTCTCTTCTTCTTCTTCTCCTTCTCCTTCTCCTTCTTCTCTTCTTCTTCTTCTTCCCCCATCTACTCTTCTTTTCTCTCCTATTCCTCCTTCTCCTATTCCTCTATTTTAATGAGTTTAGACATTGATTTTTCAGATCTTCCTCCTATTCTTATGTTTTTTCTGGAATTTGACATTGATTTTGTCAATTTTTAGGAATTCTATTTTGTATTTTCTGATTTTTGAATTCTGATTTCTTAGTTTTTTTTAAGTTCCGATTTTCCAAAAGTTTGGATGATGGTTTCAGATTTTGCCAAGTTTATGGCAAAAATATGTACACTGACAATCGTAATATGGCAGAAATGCCTTTGTTTTAACCAATCTTCCTCTGTTTTCTTGATTTGGAATTGAATTTTCCAAGTTTCAAACTTCTGTTTTGATTTTCTCGTTTCTAGTTTCCGAGTTTTAAAACAAATTTTAATTTTCAACATTTTGGACGATTGCTTCGGATTTGGCCAAATTTGTGGCAGAAATGTGTACATTAACATCATATTATGGCAAAAATGCTTTTCTATATATCCATTTTTCTGATTTTGTGTGAATAGTTTCGTTTTTCTAATTTTCGATTGTGCTAAAGAAATTATTTCATTAAAAAAATTAGTTGTTTGAATATTTGGTTATTTACTTCATGTTTTTTCATTTTTGCCAAATTTATGGCATTTTTGTGTTAATATTCCAACATGAATCTGCCAACTCTTTTGGGAGATCTGAAACTCTTGTGTTATGGCATGACAGATGTGGATCCAGTCCTCAACTCTAAATTTGCCAACATCATGTCAGTTTTATTCCGCCTGAATTGTTACGATAGTAGTGCAGCTGAAAGGTGGCGGTGATGGTGACGACGACGGGTGACGCCTGTGTGGTAAGCGGCAGGATAGGGGCAGCGATGGGTGGTGATGATGTGTCGGCAAGGATGCAGCAACAGGCGGCGATGGAGGCGACAGGCGGCACATTCGCCGGCGAGGACAGTGACAGGCGGCGGCGTCTCCGGCGACGGCGGTGACAGGCAGAGGCGTCTCCAGCGAGGGCAAAGTCAGAATGAGCCGGCGGGAGGTTTGCCTCTGGCGGTGGTGGTGTTACTGCTAGGGCTCAATAGTTTTTAATTTTACATTTTTAAAATTTAAAATATTAAAAGATGATATTTTTGTCCAATTGCTCTCAAAATGATCCTATGAAACTTAACTTCCGTAAGCAGTCCTATATATGAATAAAGTTTGCAATTAGTCCTATTTGAGTAATTAACTCATTATTAAATCCATTTTTTCCTTTTTTAAAATAACTTAATAAAATCAATTTGTTAAAGTAGAAGGAATCACGCAATCCCTAAATAAAGTTAGTCATCGTACTCCCAAAGTAGGAGCTACAAGAGTGGTACAAGAAGGCTGACACATCTAATCATAATGCATCTTCTTCACCAACAAAAAATGGCCACAATGGTACAATGGATGACCATCCACCCCCAAATTTCTCCTTTGTGAGAGGTCTTAGGTTCAATTCCCATCAAGGGAGATGAAGAAGATTTGCTTCCAAAATTCTCCCTACCTTCATGGAGATGATGTTAATGAAGGTAACGAGTTCGTGTGGTGGGAGCAGCAGCCTGAAAGTTGACTGTGATCAGATCCGGACTTAACTGTCTAGGAGCTTTGGAGGGTAGTTCATAGATTCCAGGATTATAGGAACGTAAGCCCGACTATGATTATCAAAAACAAATGGCCACCAACATTTTTTTTAAAATAAATCCCACCAATGTGTGCGATACCCCTTCCCGCGTATCTTTTGTGAAGACGACAAATCTTAATCATAATTCAAACAAAAATATCAGTGGATGACATGGAATTGATGGAAGGTACACCATAGCATTTACCCTTTTTCAAACCCAATAAAAAAACGAAAAAATACAGTATCACAAAGTAGAAGAAGAAGGAAGTAAAGGAGAGGGGGTTTTCGGTTCTCAATCATCTCTAGTAAAGCCTTCTTCTTAATGGAGTTGGACGACGACAAAGAGTACATTACTTCCGCCGATTTGAAGAAGCACGGAAGCAGAGAAGATCTGTGGATATGTATCCAGGGGAAGGTGTACGACGTGACGGAGTGGATTAAGAAGCACCCCGGCGGCGATGTTCCGATCCTGAATCTCGCCGGCAATGACTGTACGGAGGTCTTCATTGCACTCCATCCGGGCACTGCCCGGAAACATCTCGACGCATGCTTTACCGGCTATTACCTGAGAGATTCCGAGGTATCTGAGATGTCGAAGGATTACAGAAAGCTGTACGCGGATCTTTCGGAATCCGGACTGTTCGAGAAGAAAGGGCACGGGGTAATGTATACCTTCACCTTCGTCGCAGCCCTGCTTTCAATCTGCTTGTTTGGGGTATTTTGTTGCGAGGGTAGATTGATGCACGTTCTATCTGGTGGGCTGTTGGGCCTCGCCTGGATACAAATATCGTATCTGGGCCACGATTCAGCCCACTACACCATCATGTCCAGCCGCGGAATCAACAGATTCACTCAGATTCTCACCGGAAACTGCCTCACCGGGATCAGCATGGCGTGGTGGAAATGGACACACAACGCGCACCACATCGCCTTGAACAGCCTCGACCACGACCCGGATCTCCAGCACCTCCCGGTTTTGGCCGTGTCTTCTAGATTGTTCCAGTCCTTCAATTCCCGCTTCTATGGCAGAGAGCTGACGTTCGATCCGGTGGCCAGATTCCTGGTCAGCTACCAGCATTTGACCTTCTACCCCGTGATGTGCGTGGCCAGGGCGAATCTCTTCCTCCAAACATTCCTGGTGCTATTATCGAAGAGGAGAGTGCCGGACAGGGCGGTGAATATACTCGGAACGCTAGTTTTCTGGATCTGGTTCCCTCTGCTGGTTTCCTGCCTCCCGAATTGGGCGGAGAGGGCGGTGTTCGTGCTGGCGAGTTTCTGCGTCTGCTCGATCCAACACATCCAGTTCTGCCTGAACCATTTCCCTGCGAGTGTGTACATTGGCCCCCCGATGGGGAACGATTGGTTGGAGAAGACGGCGAGCGGGACGATAAACATCTCCTGCGCGGAGTGGATGGATTGGTTCTTCGGGGGGCTCCAGTTTCAGATCGAACACCATCTGTTCCCAAGGCTGCCTAGGTGCCAACTCAGGAAGATCGCTCCTGTGGTTCAGGCCCTCTGCCAGAAGCACAATTTGCCATATCGGAGTGTTTCCTTCGTCCAAGCCAACATCACCACCCTCGAAACGCTCAAATCTGCGGCAATGGAGGCTCGGGAGAATCTGCTCTGGGAAGCTGTCAAGACTCATGGATAGCTAGCTAGGTAGGATTAAGCAGGTCTCTTTCGGTATCTTCAATGCTTGTTGATTTCTTTATTTACTACGGAGTAGTATTGTTTTTCATTGGGGCATAGTTTCATAGTTCTTCTCCGTATGCGTAAATTGTAATTAATCCATTTCGTGGATCATGAAATGGCTTAATGAGCTGAGTGAGTTTAAATTATTGAATAAAAGATGTTGGTGATTTAATTTATGAGAAAAGTGTCAGACGAGTACATCAGATTGTGCGGGAGTAAAAGAGTACTAAGTGTGACTCAATTTCAAATTATATTGAGATTCCGAGGTATCTGAGATGTCGAAGGATTACAGAAAGCTGTATGCGGATCTGTCGGAAATGGACGGCTATGGTATGAGATGTGTGTCCATTTCCTCCTCCATTACCTTAACTAAGAAAATAAGTGCTAATTTAATCCACTCGCGGATTAGGGCGGCTAAAACGCTGAGTTGACAACCAGATTAGTGATATGACAAAAAAAGTCCGCAAATTATACCGTATGACCGGTATACGGTGAACACCGTATAGTTCACCGTATACCGGTATACGGACTTCTTTATTTTTTTCATTTTGTTTTTAAAAAATGGTAATAACTTTTTTATTTTTGATCCGATTTTTATAAAATTTATATAAACATTTTTTATTTTTCATTATCTTTGAAATGAGACCAATATTGCTTATGTAATTTTAAGAAATTATCGATCTATTATATTAATGAGTATTGGATTATAAGGAAAATCGAACTAAATTTAATATAGAAAAATAATTGTGTAAATCATAATTTTTCTTAAAATTGTGTATATAAAAAAATTATTGTAATATGTATTTATACATGTGAGTTACATATTTTTATGCGTAAAGTTACATATTTTTACACGTAAAGTTACATATATGTACACACAAGTTGCATTTGGCCTGCCTGAACGCGAGTTACATATTTTTACAGGTTAAGTTACATATTTTTACATGTAAAGTTACATATTTATACACGTGAGTTACATATTTATACACACAAGTTGTATTTGACCTGTCTGAATGCGATCGAGTTACATATTTTTACACGTAAAGTTACATATTTTTACACGTAGAGTTACATATTTGTACACACAGGTTGCATTTGGCCTGATTGGACGTGAGTTACATATTTCTACACGTAAAATTACATATTTTACATAGGTTAATATAATAGTTCGATAATATGTTAAAATTACATAGGCAATATTGGTCTCATTTGAAAGATCATGAGAAATAAAAAATGTTGATATAAATCGGATCAAAAATAAAAAAGTTATTACCATTTAAAAAAAGAGAAATAAAAAATAATACTCTCCACCTCAAACCGTATGCCGGTATACGGTGCTCACCGTATACCGGTCATACGGTATAATCACCGCAGATTATACCGTATGACCGGTATACGGTGAGCATTGTATATCGGTATATGGACTTCTTTATTTTTTAATCTTTTTTTTAAAAAAAATGGTAATAACTTTTTTATTTTTGATGCGATTTTTATAAAATTTATATCAACATTTTTTATTTTTCATGATCTTTCAAATGAGACTAATATTGCTTATGTAATTTTAAGAAATTATTGAACTATTATATTAATGAGTATCGGAGTATAAGGAAAATCGAACTAAATTTAATACAGAAAAATAATTGTGTGAATCACAATTTATCTTAAAATTGTGTATATAAAAAATTTATTGTATTATGTATTTATACATGTGAGTTACATATTTTTATACGTAAAGTTACATATTTTTACATGTAAAGTTACATATTTATACACGTGAGTTACATATTTATACACACAAGTTGTATTTGACCTGTCTGAATGCGATCGAGTTACATATTTTTACACGTAAAGTTACAGATTTATACACGCGAGTTACATATTTATAGACACGAGTTGTATTTGACATGTCTGAACGCGAGTTACATATTTTTACACGTAAAGTTACATATGTTTACACGCAGAGTTATATATTTATACACACGAGTTTCATTTGGCCTGACTGGACGTGAGTTACATATTTCTACACGTAAAATTACATATTTTACATAGGTTAATATAATAGTTCGATAATATGTTAAAATTACATAGGCAATATTGGTCTCATTTGAAAGATCATGAAAAATAAAAAATATTGATATAAATTTTATAAAAATCGGATCAAAAACAAAAAAGTTATAACCATTTTTTTAAAAAAAAGAGAAATAAAAAATATACCCAACAGTATGCCTTTATACGGTGCTCACCGTATAACAACTCAAAAAAGTCTCCCCATCTATAAATAAGTGTAGCCTTTTGTTTTTAATTCAGATTCCAAGATCAAAGGGCATAAAAGAGTTTGAGACATGGCATATATTTTGCAGATACGCGCTTGGGAGGAGTAGCTCTACTACTCGCCATACGCGTTAGTCCCACGAGAAGGATACATGTCTTTAATTGAGAGAGTGGAATCAAAATAAAAATTGGTAAATTAGTAGAATTATAAATCGATCTAGATTAAGTTGAAAGTGAACACAAAATTAATTTAAAGAAAAAGATTCGGGAGACCTCTTTAAATCAAAGTGGACAGAGAGTTGAACAGAGCGAACATATTGACTCATGGGCGATGCTGCAACGGTGGCGTTGATGGGCAACAGACGGAGTGCGGCGGTGGGGTGTATAGATCGGTTCAGTTTTGTGCAAAGGGTAAACCGTGACCGTAAGATCGAAAACCTTGCGCTAGAGACTTGGCTTACAAAAGGTAGGGTTGTAACCAGATGAGGTGGCTTTTTTTTGCCATATCACTAATCTGTTTGCCAACTCAACATTTTAAACTCCCTAATGCCTGAGTAGACTAAATTAACACTGATTTTCCGAGTTAAGGTACTTTTGACTCACACTTACACAATCATGTACTCTTTACTCCTCGCTCACAACCTGATGCACTCATCTGACATTTTTCTCTTTAATTTACTGGATGTGTAACTAGCTAAGGTCACATTTGTATTTGAAAGAGAAATACTTCGTACAAACTAACAAAAGTAAAGACCCAAATGACAGTTTTTTAAAAGGAAATGCAATTTCTTAAATGTGGTTGTATTTGGTGTTTGTATCTATTTCTTAAAATTGTTTCTGCTTTTCAGCAAAAACGGATATTGGAGTGTTTAAGTGAACATGCAAAAGTACATTTGAGTGTTCCAAATTGCTCACTCATAAAAGCAGTTTATTACAAGCTGCGGAAGACCAGATTCTGGAAAACCAATTCTAAATTTTACAAATTTATTGAATACTACGTATTTTAATTCAATCCAATTTTATTTGGTTTTCCACAATTTCAATTTGATTTGATTTACTTTGATTTGGAAGAAATATCACCAAACTCAACCAAATTACATATGATTTGGTTTCGATTGAGTTTACTTCAATTTGGTAGAGCTCGGTCCGATCAATATTAGTCTACTACAACCATCTTGCGTTATAAAAACTGTAATTTTATTCAAATCTAAAAATAAAATAATAATGCATCTTGTACAAAAACTGGGCACAAGAATGGAAGTTTAATTATTTCAAAATGTTGGCAGTTTCTCGATTAAAATATATTGCTAAACATTGTTAAGAAATTCATATTTTCACCTTGTTAAAAACTAGCATCACCGGATAATATAAACAGTTTTGAAAAATATCTAAGATATACATGTCATTAATATAACAATAATATGAAACCAATTTCTGAAAATCATGTGTGTTTACTCTGATATGAACCATTCCAAAAAGTGTAGAAAAAATTGTACATGTTGAAACCATGTAATTCCGGGCGCAGGAGAGTAGGAAGGAAAATCATCCGCGGAACCCTTGACAAAAAAAACCACTCCTTTTTAAAGCTTTTTAACATTTTTCATTTGTTCTCCATTTTTTATAAGAAAAAATCTCATTAATATTACTCTTTAAAATGTGATAGACAAAATTATTAATTAGTACTCCCTCCGTCCCCCTCTAATTGTACCATTTTTTCATTTTTGATATGCTTTTATTATTATCTCATACCATATTTGATAACATTTGTTTGACTCTAATTGATTCTTACTTTATTCCCACATTATTAACTCATTATCAACCACATAATTCTAATTTTCTTAAATATCACACTACTCCCTTCCGTTCCAATATTGGGGGGACGGATGTAGTATTTACTAGTGACTAGCTATAATTGTGTTCAAATCTACATCATTGTAATTACTTGTAAGTTACTACGATGTAAACTTTGAACATAATTATAGTCAATGGTAGTTAGTAAGGTAATACTTTTGCCCAAAACTTATTTATTAGTAATATTTAAGGAATAAACCCTTTTTATAAACAATATATATCAAAATTCATAACTTTTCATATCATTCATATATGAAAAAATTCAGAATTTCCAATTGCTGGAGTTTCTTAGATCTGATTTTTATTTTTTAAATAGATCCAAGTGCTAAAATTAAAATCTTAAGTGTTTTACATTTTTACATTTATTGTTGTTAAAAGAATTCTTTTTTGGGACTATTTCGAAATACGCCAAATTCTGCTTTAAACTATCGCTAACCCAAGGTCAAGTTAACTCAGCACAAATTTTCAAATTAACTCCTCATGAATATTGTGTGTATCAATGTTTTCGAAAATATTTTTTTACGAATAGTAATGATTTAAAAACTCAAATATTCGATGTAAAAATAAATAAATTTGTATTTTAATATTTTTATTACTCTAGAGGTTTTATTGGTAAAACATAAGTGAAAGATGCAAAAACAATAATCGTGAGATCTTAACGTTTAGCACTTTAAGCTAACTAAGAAACATTTTGGGTCCAAACAAATCCAGCAGTTGGAACTTAAGTTTTTTAGTTTTATATGTGTAATATTGATCATTTTCATTTTCATTTACCTCAGTGCCACAAAAGCTCCCACCTATGGTGGGGTAAGAGAGGGTCGGATGTACGTAGTCTTACCTCTGTACTAAAGCATAGAGAGGCTGTTTCTGGATGACCATGTATAATATTGGTGTCATGTGAAAAATTATGAAAAGTTATGAATTTTGATATATTTTTTATAAAAAATGGAGAACAAACGAAAAAAATTTTAAATCTTTAAAAAAGATGGGATTTTATTTATCTATGGTGATTGGTGACATATGTTCCGTTTGATAGTGGATGCGACTGAAATTGCTAAAGTGAAAGTGCTTGGTAATGAATAAATTAAC